ACTTTCAGGGTGAGAAAGAAACCAGAAGCTGCCTTTGATACTCATATACATAGAGCATGTTAGTAAATGCAAGTGGAACAGTGTCCTTAGAGGAACAGCCATCAGCTCACCATCATCTTTGCACTCAATTTTTCATGTTTTCTCTTGAATGAACTTCTGATGCAGGGAGTCCAAAAAGATAAACATTTGCTTTTTTACAACATTTAGGTACATGAGGGACCAAACAGTAGAACAGGTGAACAGCCCATATGCCCATGAGGCAAACAGCATCAGCTTAGGAGCTTCACCATCCCGTTAGCAGCAATTCCTCTTTCTTGCATTTTCTTCTCTCCGAGTCCTAAATGGTGGGTCCAAGGAAAATTACTGGCAGAGACAGGAGAAAAAGATCCAGAGGACCAGTGTTCCCAAATCCCATGCACTCTTTCATGTCTTCCAGGTAACACAAAGCAATTAACATCAGCCTGCTTCAGGGCTGGCCTGGGTCACACCACAGCTGCTTCCAACCCCAACTCATCCAGGACCGGCCTGCATGGACTCCCTACCCTTCCCCCCTTCCTAAAAAGGATCCTCCTCATCCCCTTGAGCTCAGCCAAACCAACATCTACAAAGCACTGAGACAAGCAAGCAGCACAGGGCAGTGTGAGTGCTCAGCCAGCCCAAGGCAGAAGGCTGAGACATTTCACACCACTGCTGCCAATGCCTCCACTGCCGGCAGGAACACTGCGGGGCCACGGCAGGAAATTGGGTCTTAATCACCATCTCACTTTTCATTCCCCACTTCAGTTCTGCTATTTTAGCAGCTGCTGCGAGCTGGCTCTGCACTATCAGATGAGCAGCCGTTGGGGCACAGGGTTTGGCTTGAGTGTTTTCACTCAAATGAGGCTGCAACTCCAAATGCAAAGAGAAAAATAAAGCTGGAGAGGCTCGGGGTAGTGATCTGGTAGCAATCACGGCTTTAAGACAGAACCAAACAAGCATTAATCTCATGTACAGGCTGACACTGCCTGGGACAGGCAGCCAGGCTGGTGAGGCCATACGGGCAGGACACTGGCACTGTGCAGACCAACTGACTGGGCTTGCTGCCCACTTAGGACAGCTGTGTGACACGGTCCAATGCAGATGTGTCTCCAGGTGCTTCCCCTCCTCCTTGTTCAAAGCACGTCTATAGATCTGCTGCAGTAGCAGGGTCAGCTGGAGCAGCTCCCTGCTCAAGCTTTGCAGCAGCCAGGGAGAACCACCTTTGCAGGGGGGAAATCTACTTCCACCACAACCAGTGCAGATGGCAGAGCCAGCTTCATACACCTGTACCAGGGATCACCTAAAAGGGACAAGGTGCTGGGAGCTGGAAAGAAACACAGCCAGAGCTCAATGGCACAACCATCCCTGTGGACCAGTGTAAGAATGCTCACCCAGTGCCCAGCAGCCCGTGCTCCCCATGCTCGTGCGACCTGTGGATCTCCAGAAGGCAAGTGTTACAATTATGAAGTCCTTGAGCCAAGACAGAAATCAACCTTTGCCACAAAACTTATTGAATCTTTGAGGAAAAGGACAGTATTTACTGTTCCTGTACTGCCTCAAACAACACTATTCCTGAAAAGATTCCACGCTATTCTTGTGTCATGCCCCCAAGTCCTATTTTGCCTCCCCATCATATCCATGGGTCAAAGATGCAGTGGGTGCACAGTGACTTATCCACTGCTAAATTTCAAGTGACCTACAGGAGATTTCCATTTTTGAAGCTGGCCTTGATCTGATGACCATCTTCTTCAGAAAAAGATGGGAAGTCAGACTCACTGCAAGAAGGACCCACAGAAGTTGCTTTAACCCCTTCTCTCCCCAGACAACCTATCACAGTCCAGGGCATGAGCACTGCTACAGCAGGTGTAGGATTCATCTCACCCACCCTAGAGCCATCTGAAATATTTTACCTAGTCTGATTGAGATGGCTGGGGCATGCCACATCTCATCAAAGAAAGGTGTTTGCAGCCTTGGCACCTGCATTCAAACGAGTGGGCATGGGGTGCTTTTGCAGGTGATGAAGAATCTGCCCCACAGCCAAGGAAGATGAAGGTGCAATCTGTCCCATTCATCAGGGGTCCATCACACCTTAAACCCTATGGACAATGTTGACTAGATCGCCCCTGGCTGCAGCATAAACCAAAAGCTGAACTGCTGACCTGTATGGGGGGGTGATGACTCCCACCTTGCCAACCAGTCAAGTGCAAAAAAGCAGACATTTCCAGAGGGCAAAACTGCTCTCAAAGCCTAACTTCAGCACCTGACATGTCACTGCCTCCACCTCAGTGCACTTCAGCCCTTAATCCTCCACTGCCCCAGTAAGGGGAGGCAGAATAAATATGCCACATTTCAGCTCCTCACCTGGTGCCCCAGTTCTCCCAGTAAGCAAAGATGGGCTTGTGCTCATACAGAGCAAGGGATAAGGTGCAGATGCCCATTAGCTCATTCTTAGCCCTGCCTCTGTGGGTAGCAGCTTTTGGCAACCAGGTAGGTTGGGAACCAGGAGCAGCAAGATCTCAAACAGCTCCACAGGGATTCATTTCACATGAGGATGGTTATCAGAGCATGCAGATGAGTAGTACCTTCAGCACAGCTGTATTAACACATCTCAGTAAAACTCCCTGAGACTCCAAGACAGATAATGCCACATGGGCAGCTAATTTCCACTTAATAGCACATTTTCCTCTGGCAGAAGTTATAGACAGCAATTGCTTCATGAGCCATTTGCAGGAACATTTGTAGGCACTACTGAGGAACTCAGAAACTTAATTATCTCTTTTAAAATGACCTGTGTGATTTAAAAACCTATTTTGACTTCAGATGCCCTGGGATCTGTAATCCCTGATCTAGTTGCCTAGCTGGCACAATCTTGAAGTTACCATACAGGCCACTCACATTGCTATAAATTGTTCTACCTACTCACCAAATCCTCAAACATGACCCCAAATTCACCATCCCAAAATGACAGAGAGAGAAGCAAAGCCCCAACAACCACTTCCTTATCCTTATCCACTAGTTGCCTGAGCTTCCCAAGTGCTGGCAAGAGTACAAATCCCCTCTACTGGGGTCAGCAACTTTCAGCATGAACAAATGCTCAAGCATCTTTAGACATAAAATATATATATATATATATATATATATATATATATTTAGGGAAGTTATTATGCTTCTCGGAAACTTTTTGCAATACTATTACCAAGGCTCGCCAGCAGTTTTTTAGAGCCCGGTGGCAGTTCACAGCTTGAACCAAAAGACACACCACAAGCAAACCCTCTTACTAATAATGGCCTGAAGGGCTGGAAAGCCCCTGTGCCTTTCTCAGCTCCTGCTGCACCGAGGTGACATGCCTGGGTGCTTGATTTGAATATGCATAGCTGAGACCACCCACGGGGGAAGCACAGATCCTGCCTCTGAGCTGCTGTCCTGACCCCTGTGATGCAAGGTGAATGGGGCAGGAACAAGTACTCTCATTTCTCTACCCCAAAAATATTTCCACCAATAGATGGTTAAGAGCATTCATCTGAGTTTTGGGGCTTTTTTAGACACGTCAGTGCAGGAGGATATGGCCAAAGTGGAAGAACCTGCTGGAAAAATTCCTGATGCCCTGGCCCTGGCATTCACTGACACTACACAATCCCCAAATGCTGAACTCCTTTCTACCAAGAGCAACATCAGATTATTACTCCAAAAAATTTAGTCCTGAGGTGGTTTCATAGTATGCACATATCTCTGATGCAGAGTCTAAAGGGAAGAGGCCTTAAAGGCATTTTCTACTCTAAGTCATCATGTAAGGGTTTCTGCTGGAGCCAGATGCACTAAGTTGTTTTTGTTTTTTTTAATTTACACATGATCAGGACCCAGTTTTTTACTCCAAAGTACTGTTACAGCCTGAAGAACACAAGCTCCAATGAATGTAGCAAAGTATCACAGAACCACAGAATGGGTTGGGTTGTAAGACACCTTCAAGGATGATCTAGTCCAACTCCCCTGCTATGGGCAGGGACATCTCTCACTAGATCAGGTTGCTTAGAGCTCTGTCCAGCCTAACCTTCAACACCTCCAGGGATGGGGCACACAGTTTCTCTGGGTACCCTGCTCTAGTGTCTCACCACCCTCACAGTAAATGCTGAGACCCAAATCATGCTGCTGGGATACAGCACAGATCCTCAAGCCAGATTTTTCCTCCGGGCTCTGGTTCATGTTTGTTGAGAAATCAGGTGCAGCACCTGACACGCCTGCACTGCCCCACTGGAGCGTCCTGTCCCAGGCTCCTGCTGGTGAAAGGGACACACTGCTCAAGCCACAGCTTCTCAGTCGTGGCCCAGCACCTTCATGGAAACCAAACACCCTCGGCAGTTTAAGGTTGGAGTGAACCACAGGTGATGCCCAAGAGTGTGGTACAGGTGGGGTCCCAGCCATGCTCACTGACACCACACACACACAGGTAGGTACATCAGGCAGAGCCACATGTGCTGCCATCACTGGCAGCATGGCCTTTCTGCAGTGCTCCCTTGAAAAATTTCTCCTTTTAACTCCAAATTTCCTCATTGCTGTATGGCCCTTTGCAGCCATCCAAGATAAAGCCACCTCAGTCCCCTGCCAGCCCATGTGGGTTAACACGTCCCCAGCAGCTCCTACCATCCTGTACATATCCCCCACCTTCACAGCTCAGGTCCTTTTGCATCTCCTCCAAGGGCAGGCTCCTTTCTATTGCTCATCACTTCTTAAATCGCATTATCTATTGCTCACACAGCCTTGAGACCAGTGGTTTTGGAAGCAGAGGGAGGTTCAGACACACGCTCTCAGGTAGCCTGCAAATTTGTCCCTGAATGTAGCAATTCTAGGGCCTCTCATGGAGCTGAGTACATTGGGTACAATTCTCACTTGCCATTGAGTCAACAGGGTTTTTTTGCAGTTTACTGCAGCCAATATTTTTCCCTTAATGATCCAAAAGTAACATGCTGCAACAGCAGCTGCCTTACCTGTTTCTACACCTTCTGGTTTGTTCTGCTGAAGAAGGAGTATAATACCTCTGAAAAAAAAAAAACCACAAACAAAACAAAAAAGACCCTAAGAATCGAGGAAAGTCACTGATGGCTTCTACTAAAAAGACAAATATTGCTTGTCCTGGAAAACAAGTATAAAAGCTGCAGCCTTTCAACACTAGCTTTCATTTCAAGGTGACATGAGTGGCCCCATACCCTACACCCAACTGAGGGAAGCAAAACCTCCCCTGTGAACTCTTTAGATGGACAAACCAAGGAGAAAAGGTGCCAGAGACCCAAAGCACATTCACAGAAAAGCATGGATAGTGAAATTAAGCTTCCTGGCTCTTGGCATCACAGTACAGCTGTTATAAAACAGGATATCCATCTCAGTAGCACAGCTATCAATACTCCTGCATGAGTCATCTGCAATACTTATCTAATGATGAGTAAGCTGCTCCTGTCAGTCATACTTTCCACATAAATCTGTGAAGAAAACAAGAAGGAAGAAAAAAAAAACAACTGATCAGAACATGTTATCAGAGAAATAAAATGTAGGGGATGGTATGTGGTGAGCAAGACAGCACCCAAAGTGGCAGAGGGACAGGTGGTTTGGGGGTCATTGGATGAAACATGCACACCAGGAGCTCCAAGACAAATACTAGGATCCATATGGAGTATGAGTGAAGTACCACCAAATCAACCACAATGTGACCCTTCCTGCTGGTGGATGCTTCAGCCAATACCCATGGCAGGGGCTGTGCATGACACAGCTTTTGGGGCTGGGACTCCAACATACAGACGTGTCAGCCTTGGGGGTTGTGCTCAACACTTCCTTGCTTGGCAGTGATTGTCCAAGTGAGGACACAGTGCTCAGGAAGAGTTGCTTGGGTTCAGGGTCTTTAACATCCAAAACAGAAGAGAAACTCCAACTCAGCCACGGACCGGGTGTAAAACAATCTTAAACATGGAGGATGCTTCCCCACCTCCCACTGTTTTGACTAAAGGACAACAACTAAATTGCAAATAATGTAGTGGTGAAAATAATGACAGAAAAGATAAAGACACCTTCTTTCAAGTCTGTTTGATGAAAGCAACCCTGTATGACCACACAGGCTCACTTGCACCCAGCCATATGCAACCTTTACATTCGCTGTCTGCCTGTGCCTTGTCTGACTCTGACTCTGGTGAACCACAGGGGCTGAGGCCCAGCCTCAGAGAACTTTCTCACAGAGAAGTTGCTGCTGGGGATGTGGAGGAAATACCCCAAGGGTCTCCCAAGGGGGTGTGGGTGTCTCACAGAGATTTCAGAGGGGAGCTGGGGAGCAGGGGCTGTGAGAGGAGAAAATTCCAAACACCTCCCCAACTTCACATGCCAGGAAGTGAGAGAAAACCCCATGTATGAATCATCCCATGCTGATATTTTAGAGTCACTGAAGTGTTTCACACTGGCTGCCATACAGCCTCCTGCCAGAACAGAGGAGCCCATTTGCTCCTGCAGCCCAGCTGTGAGGCTTTGCAGGCAAGGGGATGCCAGGGTGGGCACAATGCTTCTGTCAGCTTGCTTGCAAGTGGGGAGAGGCACAAGGGCATGGCTGTGGGAACCAACACAGATCCACCAAACCCCAAAGACCTCCACACCCAAGAGTGAAGCCAGAGATGGCCACCTTCATCTCCTTCTACCTGGAAGGGACTGGAAAATAAATGCTCTTGTCGTGGCTAGCATTTCACAGAATCACTGAATGGTTTGGGCTGGAAGTTGATCTTAAAGATTGTCTTGTCCAAATCAACTGCCATGGGAAGGGACAGTTTCCAGGCACAGTAGACCAAGTTGCTTAAAGCCTCATCCAGCCTGGTCTTGGAAACTTCCAGGTATGGGTATCTACAGCTTCTGTGGACAGCATCTCACCACCCTCATAAAAAATTTCTTCCTCATGTCCAAACCAAACCTAGTCTCTTTCAGTATGAAGCCACTCCCCCTTGTCCTATCACTCCATGTCCTTGTAAAAAGTCCCTCTTCAGACCTCTTGGAGCCCCTTTAGGTGTTCTAAGGTGTCCCTAGAGCCTTCTCTTTTGCAGGCTGAACAACCCCAGCTCTCTCAGCCTTTCCGCACAGGTGAGATGCTCCAGCCCTCTGATCACCTCCATGGCCTCCTCTGGACCTGCTAAAACAGGTCCATGTTCCTCTCAGACTGGGGACCCACTGCTGGGCCAACTTCACACTGCAGCCCCAGCACTGCTCAGGGTGACCTCTCTTTTCCCTACCTGCCCTGGGGACAAAGGCTCTTGTCAGACAAGTGCAGGAACTGACACAATCAAGAACAAGCTAGACTGTGTTTTTTCTCTGGGTTAAATTTTGTTCAAGTCAGTGTTGCAGTGTGCAAGATCACGTGCACCCAGGCACCAGCAGCAGGGATGGGATCAGTCTGAAAGAACAAAGACAGCAGGACCAACTCCTGTGGCACAGGCACACTCACACCAGGTGAAAAGGGCCACATAACCACACCCTCACACAGTCATTCTCAGCACTCAATTTTATCAGCCTTGGAATAAAACTGGTTCCTTCACTGGAGCACAACCTCTATATGGGGACAGTCATTTAGAAATAAAACCAGGCCAACTTAATCTCTCCTGAAACCTCAAACTTATTTTCATATACATATCTTTCTTCCCTTTTTTTTTTTTTAAGTAGGATTGAGAAGGCCTCCCTGGAGCATGAATTCCATAACACGCCACCTCAGGCAAATACATACTCCTGCCCAGATATAAACCAAACACCTTAATCCCAACACTTTTATTAAAAAGCTTCCCCAAAAATTAGAAACTTTCATTTTATGTTCAGCCTAATTACCACTATAACAGGTGAGATCCATCTGCTTCTGAAGCATCAGCATCCTTCTGTCACAGTAAATCATCCATCTCCTCCCTGATACACCTGTACTGGGCTGAACAAGCAACCTGCTGCTCCAGGCTTTCCCATCCTAGGTCTTCCTGTCCACTTCATCCTATGTGAATTTATCTGGACCTGGTAAGCACTCTTGGGAAAGCCACTTGCCTCTGAAAAACCCTCCTGTTTTTCTAGGTTCTCCTCTGACACCTTCCCACTTGTGTTTTTTAATTTTGGGTTTCGGGTTTGGTGTGGTATTTTTTGTTTCAGTTATGCTGTATGATCAAAATTGCCTTTAAAATGTCTAAACATGCATTTCATACAAAATTAGTATGCAAGGAAGGGGGGGAAAAAACTGTCATATCTTCTTGCCAATATGTAAATAAAGTGCTGAGTAGGAACTGAACTGGCCACAGATGTAATCTAGCCCTGTTGGTGCTTTGGAGCACGTGCGATACAATATGAGACCCAAATTAGGAGATTCTTGCAAATGAAAAGACCATTTTGCCAGCTCAATTTTTGGTGAAAAAAAAAAAGAAGAAAAAAAAGAGAGGTCTATTTGTTCTAATATAGCATTTAGCATAGCCAGTTTTGCAGGAGTAAAACGAACAAATCAATAACAACCTATGTAGCAACCTATCACAGTTCTGCACATTTCTATCAGTAAATAAATGTAGCTGTATTACAAGGATTGCCCATCTGTATTACGATACAAAGGCAAACAAATGTGCACTGCCAGCTTTGGACCAAGGCTCTGGAATTTACAGAAGCAAGGAAAAATCAACAGGGGCTTTGCCTGAATAAAGACGGCTGGTTTAAGCACATATGGCTTGTGCCAGTGTTCAGTGAACCAGCTTGGCCTGCAAGCGTGTGTGCACAGTTAAAGATAACCATCTCAATATATTTATATCAAAGAGGGAGAGCAAAAAAAAACCTCACATGCAAAACGTGGTGACGTTCTCACAGATCTTGCAGATCTGGAGGTAACCGAGCCGCACTCTCACAAGTGGTCACGGCTCTCTAGTTAATAACCCTCTGACCTGGGTTTTCTGAAAGGGGAGCTCATTTGGCTGCCCCTACAACTGCTGTTGTACACAAAGCTGGTGCAGAAGTCACATAGCAAGCATGCAGTGAGGTGATGCAGCACTGCAGTCATTTAGCTCCTCATTTTCTGCATGCTGGAAAACATTTTTGGGTTCCTCATTTTGGGCTTGGAAGTTTGGAGATTGGATTCTTAAAAGAAAATGTGTGAAAACAGTCTGTTCCTCCTAACTAGTTATATGTCTGTTTGCTTAGATAGCTTTGTGCTGGTGAAGTAATTGTGCTTTTAATGGAGCAAAATTGCAGTCACTGGTGGAATTCAAGAGAACTGAAGCTCAGCATCTCCTCTGCAGTCATCTGCTGGATTTGCATCTGGTTTGGTCACTCAGCTCCATCCAGCTGCTCCAAGTGCACCTCCCAATCCCTACAGTAACTAGTAATTTTCTTGGGGTGTAAATATAGCTGTCACCTAAGGTGTCTGCAGCCATTAATTAAATCTCCTGCTCTAGGTACTGTGAGATGCCTCCTCTCTTCGAAAGCAGCAGCCTTGACTCAGCACACGCCGGAGAGAGGGAGAGACCGTGCTGCTTCACTTTCTTGAAAGGTCAGCAAGGGAACGCCCCGGAAACCCTGAGTAGCAACACCTCATCCTTAACCCAAGTGCATGAGCTGTATTTAGGCAGCTGACTGATCACAAGAGCTACAAGGACACGTGTCTGCTCAACAGCAACCAACTGGAAATGCGGATGCCTTTTATTAGCCGCCCTTGTATTTGGCTTGGCTCGGAAAAGCGTGCTGCTCCGCTGGTGGGTCCTGCAGCGTATGGAAGAGCAGCTATTAGTGAAGCTAATTACAAACAATGTGCCTACTTAGAGGCCCAAAAATAGCATGGTTTATTAATAGATGGAGTGAAAACTGGGACACGGAAGATGATGTTTCTGATCACGAGCGCAGCAGCATCCTACATGATCTCGGGTAATTCTCTTCATCTGTGCGTTTTGTTTTCACAGTTTACAAAGCAGGCAGGAAAACCTCTTCTCAGAAGGGTTGAGAGGCTGAATTCCTCAGCACTCAGGAGCACTGAAAGGTGCTCTCCTCCTTGTATCTCCACACAAGTGGAAAACATTCCTGTGTCAGCCGAACCGGCTCCGTGACAATAATTTCACGCCATTTATGTGGCAACTCAGGTGACAGTTCCCAGAAAGCTCTAACATTTACCTTAAATACCTGAGTTCACTAGTCACTGATCAAAGGAATGAAGCCTGTAGAAACGGTTTCCAGTTGACCTGGGGCTGCTGGAGCAGAGCGGCAAGTGAAGCCCTCGGTGCCCGCCACCGATCTTCAGACAGGAAGACCATTGCAAAGGGAGAAGCATCTGACTCACTTATTCCGTGCCAACTTTAGCCAATTTAAAAAAAAAAAACTCATATGACTTGCATCTACCTAATGACCAGAGGCAGAAAGACTAGCAATGAAACCCCTCTGCCTCCCCATAAGACAAGCTCAGTCTCAGCCCAGCACCTGAGAGCACACACATGAGAAATCAAGCTTTTCCTTC